TTTTTTTTTTCTTCTTTTTTCCTTCTGATTTTACCATTTTCCTTTTTATCCAGGTGACAGAAAAGCCCATTCTTCCCCCACCCAACCAGGCAAAGCCTCCCCTTCCCCTACCCCATGGTGGGTATAAAACCCGGTGCCACAGCTGGTGTGACCAGCTCCAACATTCCCATTTCTAATTAAATTATCACTGGGGAATAAAAACCACCCCCAAAACTCCACTGGTGGCTGCCGGGGACCTAAAGACCATTCATCTCCCTGGGGACCTGAGCCAGGATGAGCTGGGGACAGGGTGGGAAGAGGAGTGAACCGTAGAAGAAGCTTTGCTTGCCCGTGTTTTGGGATGTCATGGCCCAACAGAGGAGACTTCACGCAGCTTCTCTGGGTTTCCCTCTTGAAAATACACCTTCAAATCCTACCTGAGGGACCTCGCAGCATTTTATACCAGTTTAGGGGTTTTTTTCCATGCCAAACCAGTCCCACAGTGATGATTTCTACTTGCCCAGCCCATCTTCTGCCTCCTGCTGGTGCAGAAGCCCAGAGCAAAGCCCCCCGAGGTCAGCACTTGTGGCGAACCAGCACCTCACTGGGGGGGGTTGGAGGTACCAATGTCCCCAATGGGGGAAGGAAGGGGTTAATTTTTAACTATTTTTCTTTTTAAAATGGCCTTTTGGACCTGTGGGACCAAAAGATCTTTCCTTTCAGAGGACCCCCCCCCAGAACTCGGTGGCTGATGGAGCTGCCAGGCTTTGGTGACAAGATAAAAGACACACCTCGGCCAGAGTTGGGGGGTGGCACCTGGCTACAACGTGGGATTGATCTATTTAACACAGACTGGAAGGGACGCCCATATTGCTTTAATTAGATGCTGAGGAGGCTTGACCTAAACGAGGTTCTGGTTGCCCCTGGGCAAGCAGGACCCTGGCCACCCGGCGTCCCAGGGCTGTACTGGGTGCCCTGCCCCAGCGAGAGGCTGGGGACACCAAATACGCCTCCCAGGCTCTGCTTTCAGCTCACTCAACCCGATACAGGGTGTTTTTGCCCAAAACACAACTCTGCCAGCAGCACAGAGAGGCCTGGCCAAGCACGGGGGGCTCCTTGCCTGCTGGGACAGTAGCCCTCCCTGCGTGAGGGCTGGGGCTACAAAATAAACCGGTGTTTCGGTTGGAGCTCTCAGCACAACATGAAAATCCCCAAACAGAACCCAGACAGACAAAAATCCCCACCGTAACAAACACACACACACACATACACCCCCAAAATCTCTCCCCTCCACTTGGCTTCCAGCTCCACCTGAAGCTCAGTGCCCACATTTAACCCCCTTTCCCGGGCATCTGGATCACCGGGATCAACCAGAGCTCACCCTCCGGAGCAGGGCCAGGATGCAGCCCCCACCCAGAGTCCTGGTAGCCCCCCCCCAGAATCCACAAGCCCAAAGGCAGCAACGCAGCCGAAACGCAGGGCTGGGACTGAGATGCTTTTCCCCAGGAGCTCATGGTTGCCCCTGAGGGCCCTGTGGAAGCCAAGTGGACTTGCATGCCGGGGAGATGGGGGAATGAGAGCCACTTACCTCATTTGTGCTTCCCTGGGGAGAGGCATTGGGAAAAAAAAGGGGGAGAAAGAGAAAAAAAAGCATCTCTGTGTATCACGCACGTCCATGGGAGCGCACAGTGTCACACCACTTCCTGGGGCCAACAGGGCAGTGTCCTCACCCAGCACAGGCTGTCCCTCTTGCAGGACCCCTCATGGCTCCGTCCACCCCTCCTGCAGTCAGTGCCACCACCACGGGACACAGCCACGAGGGCTTGGAGCCCACCTGGGGCCCACCAGTCCCTCTGTGTCGTGGCAAGCAGAGTCCTGCTACCCAAGCCGGGCCAACAGGGCAGTGTCCTCGCCCAGCACAGGCTGTCCCTCTTGCAGGATCCCTCATGGCTCCATCCACCCCTCCTGCAGTTGGTGCCACCACCACAGGACACAGCCACGAGGGCTTAGAGCCCACCTGGAGCCCACCAGCCCCTCTGTGTTGTGGCAAGCAGAGTCCCGCTGCCCAAGCCATGGTGGCTGCAGCAGGGCCAGCACCTTCTCAGAAGACCTTTCCCTGGAGTTAGAAAGCCCCTGGAGACCAGGGAGCAGCTGTGGGCACTTTAACCTCGTTATTTTTCCCCAGCGTCTCTGGTTTCCAGCTGGCTGCAATCAAGAGTCCCTCCCCATCTCTCCTGGAGCCCCTTGAGGGCCTGGAAGGGGCTCCAAGGTCTCCCCGGAGCCTTCTCTTCTCCAGGCTGAACCCCCCCAACTCTCTCAGCTTGTCCTCCCAGCAGAGGGGCTCCAGCCCTCCCAGCATCTCCGTGGCTCTCAGGCCATTTTAGAAGCAGCCTGGCCAAACCCCACCACCACCCAGCTGTGGGATGAAAGAACTGAATAATAAATGCTTCATTATTTTTTGGCCCCCAAAGCTGGGTGTTTAGCTCCAGCTCTGCGCAGCAGTGGGAACCCGGCAAACGTGGTCACTCTTCACCAAAAAAAACCTGTTGGTGGATAAAAAGCAGGGGAGGAGCAGGTGAAGCTGTTGAGAACGGTCCTTTCCCCCTGAAATAAAACCCACGAGTGTGGCTGGTGGCTTCTGAGGGCTGAGTGGACCATGACCCCAGCCCAGCTCTGCCAGGGGACAAGCAGGACACCACCACAGTCCTTTAAATGTCATTTTGGCACAGGGGCTGGTGGGTTGCTCCCCTGGCCGGGGCGCAGGGGGTCAGCAGGAGCCTGCAGAGCAGCTCGGTGATGGGGAGAGGAAAGAGCTGCTGCAGAAAAGGAAACAGGAAGGACCGAGTGTTAAAAATACCGCGGCCGTGGGCTGCGAGATAACCCTGCCAGGGCCAGGCACTGCCAGGAAAGCAATGCAGGGAGTGTGGGGGGGAATGCTAACACACTCTGATCATTTTTAAGGTTTTAGAGGTGTTTCTGGACATCGGGGTCCAGCAAAGAGCTTCCCATGTTGTTTGGGGGGAAAAAAAAATCAAAAAAGAGCAGGTGAGCCAGAGCAGATGCGGCTGCACCGGGAAAGCGGGGCCCAGCACCAAAACAGGCAGAGCCTCGGTCTCTGGGGAGAGCCCAAATCCCTGCCCCGAACCAGGAGAGTGATACGGGTCTGTCTGTTTGATATCCACACACATCAACACAAAACCCCTCCGAGAAGGCCTCCTTGGTGGGACCCCAGGCAAAGCTGCCCCATTCCTGCAGTCTGAGGCTCCACAAACCGGCACTGGGTGATGGGGAAGACAAGAAGAAGAAGAAAAAAGGCAGAACGAAATAGCTTGCTGTGAGTTTTCTCATCCCCAGCCCAGATCTACATGGCTTGTCTTTCACACTGGGCAGGATTTAGAGGCTCAGGCTCGAGCTGGGGACAGGGTGGGTTTGTACGTGGCTCCAGCCTTGCTCTTCACTCCTGCTCTCCAACCCACCCCGTACTGCCCACCCATGGTACAACCACAGCCCAGGCCCATCTCCGGTCCCTATGTCTCCCCCTTAAAATCAACTCCACAAGCTGTTATAGAATCATAGAATGGTTTGGGTTGGAAGGGACCTTAAAGACCATCTCATTCCACCCCCCTGCCCTGGGCAGGGACACCTCCCACCACACCAGGTGGCTCCAAGCCCCCTCCAACCTGGCCTTGAACCCCTCCAGGGATGGGGCAGCCACAGCTTCTCTGGGCAACCTGGGCCAGGCTCTCACCACCCTCACAGGCAACAATTTCTTCCCCAGATCTCATCTCAATCTCCCCTCTTTCAGTGTCAAACCCTTCCCCCTCATCCTGTGGCTCCCCTCCCTGATCCAGAGTCCCTCCCCATCTCTCCTGGAGCCCCTTGAGGGACTGGAAGGGACGCCCTTAGGTACTGGAAAACTGATACTGTTCTGAAAACATTTCCTTTCCCTGCTTTCCCCATCTCAAAGGTCTAAGGGACGGCCTAAAGCTCGTTGTCCTGCTGTCTGAAGAAGACAGGGCTCATCACACCACAACCAGCTCAAGCAGCTGGATCTGCCCGGGCAGGCCCAGCTGGAGCATCTCAACAACCCTAAATAGAAACACAAAAACCATTTCAAAGGGGAGGAAAAGCCCCAGGAAACTCAACACTTAAGAAGTTGGTTTTGCTTTTTTTTTTTTTTTTTTTTTTTTGGTTTTTGGTTGGGTTTTTTTTTAAATCAAAAGCTTTTTTTTTATCCTACCTGGTCCCATAACGCGGCGGCCACTTGGTCTATTACTGCGCCCAGTTCTCTGTACTCCCCAGAGTATCTGATATATGCCCAGGTACACAGTGTGATAAGTGTCAAGCCCATGATCATGTTGCACAGACTGGCTATGATGTCCAAGCCAATGAAACCGGTCACTCCAGCGATCACGTAAGTGATGAAGATGACCACGAAGAGGGTGGCGGGGGTGCGGGCAGCGTGGAAGATGTTCTTGCTGTCATTGTGCTTGATGTACTGGATGTAGAGCTCATCGATCTCGTTCTCCAGCTGCTGGAGGTAGCGACGGCTGAATTCCTCCCCACCCATCTTCTTCACCCCGCGGAACAGCTTCACAGCCTCCTCCTTCAGCTCCAGGTGTTTGGTCTGGAGGTCACTAGGTGCAAGGAAGGGCTTGTCCCCACCACAGACCTGCGTGGAAAACACATTTCTGTCACTCCAGAAAGCTCAGCACCCGTGCTCTGTTGTGTAAATCACTGAAATTAGGGCTCTACAGGCTCCCATTTGGCATGGACCACTAGATCCTGCAGGAAGACCTCCATGATTGTGCTGTCCACCTGGGAAAGCTCTGTCAGGTGCGGGTGAAAAGGGGGAAGCAGGTGCCTGCACTGGGAAGCTGTGTCCCACAGCTCCCCTGCTCCATTCCCTCACAGCCTAAGCCAGGATCTCGGGCAACACAAAAGCCTGAGCTACACTGACCAGCAGGACCCTGAATCCCAGCATTTTCCAGTGCTGGAAACCCTGCAGCATTCTCCTTCTGCTTCAGAGAATGGACATATACATCTTTTTTTTAAGGCCCAGGGCAGTCCAGAGGTGGTTTGGCCACGCAGCTCCACACCCCTTTCCTGCCAATAGGCAGCAATGGCCCATACTGGTGAGCAGAGTGGGGATCTGGAAGCAGCTGGAGACAGGCTGAGATCTGAGCTTCACCTTAAAACATCCCAACCATCCCCTCAGCAGGGCAGGGCATAGGTGAAAAAGCCAGTTATAATGACTTTATCCTTTAATTAGCACCAGCCATAGCATGGGTTGCATGGTCACACAGCCCCACCACATCACAGTTTTGGGTGGCATCTACCCACGCTGGGGAACACTGGGAAGAGGATGTAAATTCAGCAGAGGCCACGTGGTCTTCAAAAAAACTGCCATGGGATGAAACAGTGACCGTTTGTGAATCACTCTTCCCTGTCCTGCCACAATACCCTACCTGGGCATTGCTCCAGGCTGTGAGAAAGCCCCTTTTCCACCAGAAATATAAGAGAGACCCTCTTTGGGACCCTGCCCAAGTCCAGGCATGATGTTTTCTCCCAACAAGCCAGGCAGGGAGGCTTCTCCACAAGGACAGGAGATATGAGTGTGATGATATGACATGCTCAGCACCACTTACCTCTTCCATTCTCCTGCTGTAGGTATCTTTGGCAGTGGCAACCGCTGCTAAATTGTTGGCTTCTGCTGTGGCCTGCAAGAAGGGCAAAAGGAGTACAAAGTTTAGCTGCAGAAAGGCAGGGTTAAGAAGTGTAATTGCAGAGAGTAGCAGCCACTGGATGCCTGGGGACCCGTGGTCCACACGTGTATGTGGCCAGGATGTACACACACAGAATTAAACAGCTCCCTCTCTCAGCCTCTGACCAACCCACATAAGATCCCGCCATAATTCCATGTCCAGTCTCCTCAGCTCCCCCAGGCAAAAGCCTGCACAAAGACAGGACTCCTACCCTCCCAGCCAGAGCAATGACAACTTTGGCTTTGGCTGTGGGAAAAGGCAAGGAAAGAGATAAAAGGCTCAGTCGCATGTAAACAGCTACAGCTGCAACCTCCCGCAAAGCCCTCTGGCTCAGGGAGCAGAGCTCCAGCCCGTGCTGGGGGGCCGTGTCACCTCCCCATGTGGCCCCATCACGGCCAAAAACGATGCTCTGTACCTGCCAGGGGGTAACTTCAGCTCAGCTGGGTGACACGGGGTGCACAGACAGCGAGTCACCGCAGTCTGGCCGAGGCCACGAGCCCTGCTGCCGCAATTGCTGAGCCGTATCAGCCTCCCGACTGCCAAATACTTCCCAAAAAGGGCTGTTGCTTGGGTTGTTACACTAAGAAATTTGAAATAAATTCCCAGAAGACCCAACGTGCCACGCTAGCAGGTCACCTCTGACAATGAGCTAGAAATCAATGGTAATTACAGTGCAGGAATGCCCACCAGCTCACGCTCACGTACCTGCAGCATTGACTTTGGGTGTGGCAATTCTTCCCCTTGGTAGATCTTTATGTACGCCTGCAAAACAGCGCCCAGAAAATGAAATCTCATCAAATACAGCATGCACCAGCAACAAGCAAACACCCCCACCCAGTTCCAGACACAGCTTTAACAGGGTGTTAAAGGAAAAAGGAGGAGGGGGACATCCCTGGTACACGACGGCTTCAGCAGGGGATGCTCTGTCAGAAAATGCTACGTAGCACGGCTCAAGGTTGACTCCTTGGGTGGCCCAAGAGTCACTCAGGGCTCTCGTTCCACCACTTCAGCTAATTATCTCTGCCATCAAATTTGCACCTACCTCCGTCCTTCACTGAAGAAGAAGGAGCCGGAGTCAGGTAGCCCTGGAGAGTAGGCGGTGAGACTTACTCACGGATGCCTTGCATTAAAATGTCCCAGTAGTCATGACAACAAAAATAAGCTTTTTTTTTTTTTCCCAAAGGCAATGGGAATATGGCCCTCAGCCCACCCCCTCCCTGGTCCTCAGTTCTCCAGGGATGGGGGAAAAAACAGCCCTCCCCAAGTCTTGTGCTTATTGCATGGCCAAATATGCGATTGTGAGGTGTTTGCTCTCTGCAGCAATGGGAACCAGGACTATTACCTAGACCAAGACCATCTCCTCTTGCCTGCTGCTGCTTTCCCTTTTAAATATAGCAAAAGTGCAAGTGTGCCACAGATTAATAAGCCAAATTTCTCTCAAATACCTTAAAATATTCCACAAGGCCTCGACAGGTGATATGGTTTCCATTGATCTCCTTAACATCCAGGCTCTCGGGACTAAGAAGCCAAGGAATCAAAATCTTCAAGTTCTTGATGAACTCATCGTCTATTTCTGGAAACAAAAACCCAACATCATCAGCACCAGCCCTCCCTCAGACTTGTTCTTCAAGAAACAAGAGCAGGAGAATCAAAGCCAGACTCAAAAATTATTGTAGACCTGGTTTAAGTTGTGACAACCCACGGACAGAACATACAGCTGTGGATATATCCACAGACCAGCTCCACAATCCCAAAAATACTTGTGCAAACTGAAGTTGTGACAACCCACGGACAGAACATACAAAATACTTGTAGAAACTATTGTCCACTCATGGTGGACAACAGGATGACCATGAGCCAGCAATGTGCCCTTGGGGCCAAAAAGGCCAATGGCATAGAAGAGTGTGACCAGCAGGTGGAGGGAGGTCATCCTGCCCCTCTGCTGTGCCCTGGGGAGGCCCCATCTGGAGCACTGGGACCAGTTCTAGGCTCCCCAGCTCAAGAAGGACAGGGAACTGCTGGAGAGGGGACAGCAGAGGGCTACAAAGGTGATGAGGGGCCTGGAGCATCTCTCATGAGGAAAGGCTGAGGGACTTGGGTCATTTTAGTCTGGAGAAGAGTAGACTGAGGGGGGATCTGATCAACACCTATAAATACTTAAAGGGTGGGTGTCAAAAGGACGGGGCCAGTCTTTTTTCAGTAGTGCCCAGGGACAGGACAAGAGGAAATGGGCACAAACTTGAACATAAGCAGTTCCACCTAAACACAAGGAGGAACTTCTTTCCTGTGAGGGTGGCAGAGCCCTGGAAGAGGCTGCCCAGAGAGGTGGTGGAGTCTCCATCTCTGGAGACATTCAAAATCCACCTGGACACATTCTTGTGCAATGTGCTCTGGGTGGACCTGCTCGGGCAGGGGATTGGAGGAGATGATCTCCAGAGGTCCCTTCCAACCTCATATCATTCTGGGATTCTGTTTCCAGCAGCACGCCTTCCCCCCACCACCCAGTTAGCATACAGTTTGCCAGAAGAACAAGTCTGAATGCCAGCCACACAAAACCAGGGAAAAAGTAACTTCCTTCTGTCTGCTGATTTATTTTAAGTGACTAATGGGCCACTTAATTGCAAAGACTGCAAGCAGTGCTGCTGGTAAGCAGTCGGTTCACTACAAAGAACTAAAACCTACAGCATGCGGCTCCTTTCAGGGTAGAGAATCTTATCATGGCTTTTTTTCCTTCCTCTTTTCTTTCGGGTTTTTTTTTTTAACCTGTTGAACTAACTCTGCCCTGTAGGGAAACCACCAATCAGATAAGTCAGGATGATTAAATATTCCTTGGAAAGCTTTTCAAAGCGAAATAGCGTTCCCCTGAGAGCACGTGTAACTGGGCTTCCACCCTCCACGAGCACCAGCCTGCCTTGCAGGAACCAGTCTGCACCATTCCACGTGCGTGCCGAGCTGCACGTGAGGCACTGGAGTTAACTGGAGCCTTAACACCGAGCCCATAAACCTCCCATCTCAGCCCTGCCCTTGGTTGCCCACCAGCCACCTGTCCTGACACTGCTCACTGAGAGCAGCTCTGAGACCGTTTGGGCCTCCCACATCTGTTCAGCCTCCACCTCTGTATGGGCCTCCCAAACTTCTTTGGCCTCCACTTCTGTCTTGGTCTCCCATACCTTTTTGGCCTCCCACACATTTTCATCCTTCACCTCTGTCTGAGCCTCCCACACCTTCTTTGGCCTCCACCTCTGTCTTGGCCTCCCATGCTTTTTCAGCCTGAACTTCTGTCTTGGCCTCCCACACCTTTTTTTGGCCTCCGCCTCTGTCTGAGCCTCCCACACCTTTTGGGCCTCCCACCCCTTTTTTGACCTCTGCCTCTCTCTTGGCTTCCCCTATCTTTTTGGCCTGAACTGTCTGGGTCTCCCTCTCTGTCAGGGCCTCCTGCTCCTTTTGGCCTCCACCTCTGAGCCTCCCACCCCTTTTTGGCCTCCACTCTGCACTGGCCTCCCACACCTTTTTTTGGCCTCCACCTCTGTCTTGGCCTCCCACAACTTTTCAGTCTCCCATGACTTTTTGGCCACCACCTCTGCCTTGGCCTCCCACACCTTTTCAGCCTCTCCCTCTCTCAGGGTCTCCCATACCTTTTTGGCCTCTGACAACTTTTTAGCCTCCCACACCTTTCTGGCCTCCACCTCTGTCTTAGGTTAAAAGCATCTGGCAATGAACAGGCAGCTGCTGGACTCGGAAAAATGAGCCAAGTGTGTCTATGTCGTTGGGAAGAGGATCCAACTCCTTTCCCAGAACTTTTTTCATGGAAAATGGAAGTTTGGAAAATAGAGGTCTGAGGAACCCGCAAGACAATCTGCCAGGGTATCCAAGGTATCTGCTTAAAAACCAGACCTTTGCCTTCCTACCTTTCAGTTTTCCATCAAAATTCGGGTTGGTGGCAACTTTCAGGCCCGGGTGAGGTAAGAGGAAGCAGGAGATTTTGGTGAAGCAGGAATGGATGTGCTTTCTGACGTTCTGCAGCTCTTCATGCTGATTTCCCGAGACCTGCAAGACACCAGTTTGGGGTCAGGGGTTTTCCTTCTGATGGGGACACTGGTAATGCTGGGGCAGTGGTGACGGCAGGAACACAGGGTACTCCATGCTGTGGTTGCTCACAGTGAGGAAAAAGCAACACAGAAGGACATCCCATGGGGGGTGCCACATGAGGACAAAGACAAGGCTCCTCCAGCAACCAAGGAACCAGAGTATCTGTGACCACACACCCTGGGGCATGTTATTATCGCTTGGAAAATATCTGTGTCCATGTATGACTGGAATATAAAAACATTTGGGATTTCCCACCGGGGCCTTTCTTGTCTCCCCTTTAATTAGGTGTCTCCACTACCAAATCACCCATGCATTTCCTGATTAATCCCAGCGGAGCCCTCGCCCATCAGTTTTACTGTACAACTGCCTGTTACTAAAGCATTGCTCCCGATCTCTGGGGAATCTGCTGACTCCCATCTCCAACACCTCTCCCAGTTGCTCCCAGCAAGTGAGCCCCAGGGAGACTGGGCTTGGCCAGAAGACGTGGCAAGGAAATTCAGCCTCCTAAAAATGCCTCTTCTGGGATTTTAAGGCACTGGGTGAGTGTGACTGTCACCAGCATCTCTGTACACTGCAGTTCACACCCAAGAGCCTGCTGTGGCCCCCCCACCAGCCAAACCCTCACTGGTACCAGTGCTCTGCACCCTGTTCCCTGCTCCTTGCCCAGGATTATGGTCACCAGCATCATCTGTCCCCCACCCTCACACCCTGAGCAGTCTCCATCCAGGCAGGGGATGGCAGTGGATCATCCCTGGGTCACCAGCCAGATTTGCCTCCCTTTTCACTCTCCATCACCCACAGCGTACCCCCAGGGCTGGCACCACTCGCTAAATGAACTCAGATCAGAAAGATCTCACCTTCAGTCGCTTCTCCAGAAATCTTGCACCACCATCGGATCCATAGGAAAATTCATACGGGAAGCTCCAGTCGCGAACAAGGAATATAAGGGACTAGAAAACAGAGACAGGAACACATCAGGGTCAATGCCACACAGCACGGAAAAATTCATCTTTCAAGGGTGTTGCTAATTGTACGACCAGGACTGGCTACATGAGATGCCTAATTCTGCTGTACCTTAATGAATGGGGGTTCAGGAGGGATTTCAGGGCTTCCCATCCTACCACCACCACTGGCAGCAGATGTTGGAGCCCACGGCGGCGGCAGGACCCCCACTGTGTCCTCATCCCCACCCTCGTACCACAACAAGACCTGGCCCCCAGCCTCTGCCCAGCTCCAGCAGCATCCCACGCCTTTACTGGTGGAAATACCCCTCTGTGCAGGGCCACCCCACCATGGCACTGAGACCGTGCAGACTCACTGCACATTACAAGGGGAAAAGTGGGGGGCAAAACCCAGGACTGGGTTTGCTGGGAGGCAGTTTGATTCCCCCAGCTCGAAAAATAGCATCAATCATTTAGACTGCAAAACAAGAAAGAGATTTTTGCTAAGCAGGACAAAAGGCAACCAGCTCCTTAATTCCAGCTACATTTAGTTCCATCCTATGGGAATTTTACAGGCTCATTTTTTCAGCCTTTTTCACCGGGCAGCCTTCCAGACAGACTTTTAATGAGAAGCAGATGCAGTATAACGAGGGTGAATAAGAAATCGCTGGCTTTTGTAATCTTTATTGAGGCAGTCAAAAGTTCCTATGCAATAAATAAATAAATACCAGCACGGTCAACTTTTAATCTTTACAAAAAAAATTAATGTTTTCAGAAAAAAAAAAAAATCCTGTCTCCAGCACCTCATCTGTGCAAGGGACCTGTGTAATGAACACAGGGGGTGGAGGGGGAAGCCCTAAACGCCGAAGCCCAGGAGGGTCTGGCAGAGGTGCCAGGGCTCCTCTCATGCACATGAATCAGCAGGTCAGCAAGTGGAATCCATTTCACTGGAATTTCCCTAAAAATCAGCTATGTTTAGACCAAAGATTTAGTGGAGGGAGGGAAAATATTTCCCCTCCTTATTTCTCTTCCATAAAACATCAGGAAAGGTTAAAAAAAGAGAGAGAACAGCGTGTTGGCCATTCCTAAATGCCTGACGAACCACAGCAACTGCACCCAGTTAGCTGTTTCGGGACACACTGTTCTTTCTAAGACCAGGAGATGCTTAGGAAACATGTCCATGTTTAGGACTTTTCCACAAACACACGATGCGTGCCTTGCACTGCTTGACTCTGGAATGATTTTCATTTTTCTTAAGCAAAATCGTTCCAGACGTGAGGTCTTTCCTGTGCCTCCCACCCACCCTCAGCCCCTCCAGCCCAGCAAAGGGCCAGCCTTTTTGAAGGCATCATGACCAGGATCGGTGTCCGGTGAGGGCACACGGGGCAGGGCAGGTGGTTACGCTTTGGCTCAAGTGTGAGGACACACCATGGAGCCGAAGGGAAATGTTAATTTTCCACTGCCAAGTATTACTTCCCTCCCAGCAGGATCCATGCAACTGCCTCGTTATCCACACTCTCTCTGCACTCCCTGCTTGGCAGCGCTTTCCTATAGGAGCTGTTTTCCAAAGCCTCCTTTACAGATTTGGATATTTTAAGGACAAAAGAGGTTCCGCATGTTTGATTTACAGGCCCTGGAATCTCACCCAAGAAACTCAAGCTGTAGACTGGAGAGATGGGGAGGGACTCTGGATCAGGGAGGAGAGCCATGGGACAAGGGGGAAGGGTTTGACCCTGAAAGAGGGGAGATTTAGGTGAGATGTGGGGAAGAACTTCTTTCCTGTGAGGGTGGTGAGAGCCTGGCCCAGGTTGGCCAGAGAAGCTGTGGCTGCCCCATCCCTGGAGGGGTTCAAGGCCAGGTTGGAGGGGGCTTGGAGCAACCTGGTCTGGTGGGAGGTGTCCCTGCCCAGGGCAGGGGGTTGGAACTGGATGATCTTTAAGGTCCCTTCCAATCTAAACCATTCTATGATTCTATGAAATTTTATCACATTCTCAAGGGTTACCACCAGTCGTTTGATATTTTTCCCCAGATTGTTAACGAAGATGACAGTGAATCAGAGAGACCCCAGGGGGAGCCCCAAGGAAACACTTCTGAAGGATGATGATTCCCTATTAAAATTAGCTCAGCGTGCTCTGTCATCTATCAGTTAATGAGTTTTTAATCCATTTACAATGGATTATACCAGACAATGCTGACTTGGTATGTTGTTCGCTTGCTTTTAATCAGCACGGGAGGGAGATAAGGCTTACAGAAGGCAACGTATCATGGTGATAGTTACCTTTATCAACCCAACTCGTGGTCTTTTAAAAATTGATAATGGGATGGTTTGACAAGACTCGCTATGCACAAAACTGTGTGACTTGACAGCAATTACGGTCTGTGGTAAAATCAGAGCCTATTATCCACTCCTAATGACTTAAGCATATTTAAAAGTTTCCCCTTACAGCCTCCTTTTTACTGATGGCGTAGGAAGTATTTCGCTTTCACGGAAATATTTGTCTACATTACCCTGATAGTTTTTAAATAAGGAACAGGGATATTTATTCAACGTCTGGCTCTCTTCTGTACCATGTTACAGTTTTCTCCTAGCTCTTGCTACTACAAGTCATGTATTTTTACTGGTAGCTTTCACAACATTTATCAGTCATCTGTCCATGCCAGCATCCAATATAACCTCAAAGCTCCCCAAAATCTCAATTTATCTATTTTAATTTTATTTCTACTTCCTGAGCACAGACACCCCTTAGGCCTTCCAGGATGGGGGTGAGGACAGCAATTCTCTTTTTATGTTGAAAAAGGCCAAAGTAATACCACTGTAACCCATTCCCAATTATTATTTGCATTTTTACAGCACCTTTTTGCTCTCTGCTGTTCTCCACTTTGGGAAGCTCCCAACCCCTCCTCCAGCTACCACCTACCCTACTGTGGATGCCTCAGACATGTCAAGGGTCCCTTCTGCCGCCACAACTTTCTGCATTGTCTCTTTTTGTTCATATTCACTTTCCTACTGGAAGGGGATGTCCCAGCCCACCATTCTCCCAGCTGCTCACAGCTCTGGTGTCCAGAGCAAGCTCTCGTCTGCCCAATGCTCTCCCTTTTTTGCACGCCAGCTTTTCACAGGTTGGGAAGCAGCAGGGTGAACAGATGTCCCTTATTTGAAGTTAAAACCCCACTTAAACCGAACCTTCCCACAGCTCTGCTGTCACTTGCGAGAGCTCTGAGCTAATCCTTGTCCTTTCATTTTGCTGGGAGCAGGGATTTCCCAGGGCAGGAGGGTTCAAACCTCTCGGAGAGAAGGCTGGGCAGAGTCCCCAGACAGACAGTGTGACAAACCTGCCACAAAATGTGACTGCTTTCCAAGCCTGGCAGGACGTCTGGCAGGAGAGGGCAGAGCTCTTGGGATGGCAGGGGTTCAGAGAGGAACCAAAGAGGGATGTTGGGTGGATTTGGAAGCCTTTTTGGGAGCAAGGAAGAACAAAGCCTTTCCTTCTGACAGCTGAGCCCGTCCCCAGGCATCCCCATCTCCTCCCCGTCCTGCAAACTGCAGTGACACCTCGTGGTGAAGCCAACCATCTCCGGGCCAAGCCACCTCCTGCAGAGGGGACATGTGCTGGCCAGGACCCTCAGAACTCACCTGGAAAGGTTTCAAGAATGTCTCCTCCATGGCCAGGCGGCCGTACTCAGTGAAAAGCTGGAAGGAGAAGAACAACAGGACTGTTAGTTTGTCTGTCTGTAAGGACACACAGATGGCCGTGGACCACAGGCACAGTGGCAAGAGACAACTGGTGGCCACAGGGCTAACAGCACCATTTGTAGTGCTGGAACAGAAACTGGCTGGCCATGAGCTTTCAGTTCACAGCTACAGACAATCACCGTCCTGAGCCCTCACGTGAAAGATCTCAGCCTGGATTTTTTGGCTGGCAAATCTGTGGAAAATGGCTCAAATCAGCTGCTTGCTGTTGCTTTCACACCAACCCAAAACTTCACGTGCTGCAGGGGACTGCTTCAGCTGCTTGCTGTTGCTTTCACACCAACCTGAAACTTCACGTGCTGCAGGGAGCCCAACTCTCTTTAAACACTCCAAGAAGAAGCGGAAATTAATTCAGAAATAAGCACTTTCCCTGCAAACCCCTGCTGTGCAAAGACTGTAAGATCAGCCTACCAGCAAGATTTGAAGGCTCTCCAGCCTCTCTGACTGTAATTTCCAACTGAAGGCACAATAACGTGCCTTTCACAGATGCCCCAAAATGGGTCAACATGTTAAACAATAATGGCTTAAAATCCAAACTGAAAGATCAGAGTTGCACTGGGTAAGTTCAATGTTAAAAAGGCATTATTGTTATAAATATTTACTGACTGAAAAGATGCAAAATTCTTCAAATGTTGATTTTTCCAGCTGGACTTTTGCTTTTCATTCCTTTCTCTAAAGCTCCTGGAAAAACCTACCTAACGAATCAATCAACCACCTGAACAGAAGAGAAAGCTAGAGGTAATACCAGGAAATGGGCAGGACACCTGGGCCACAAAAATCCAATTAGCTGCTTGTCTCCAACAGTCAGGGCTGTAATTACCCTTAGGGGTCACCTGTACTGAGCCAGTACCAGGTGTCAATATTCAGGCTTATAAATGGTTACCCAATTTCTTTGGGCTTCTCCTAACAATCCAAGGATCCTGTACTACAGCATGAACGGTGCAACTTCTACCTTCAGCTTCCCCATCACTTAAGTGAAATGAGCACTTTTACTGCCCCTACTCATGGAGCAGTGCACAGACACTCGCAGCAGCAGGAGTACAGCCAATAAGTGGTTAATTACCCTATTACTAGTCACTTGCAGTATTCAGGCTCATAAATGGTTACCCAATTTCTTTGGGCTTCTCCTAACAATCCAAGGATCCTGTACTACAGCATGAATGGTGCAACTTCTACCTTCAGCTTCCCCATCACTTAAATGAAATGAGCACTTTTACTGCCCCACTCACGGAGCAGCGCATGGACACTCGCAGCAGCAGGAGTACAGCCAATAAGTGGTTAATTACCCTATTACTAGTCACTTGGTGCAAGTCATTTTGTGGTTCCAGTCCCACGGGTCAGTCCTGGCCTCTGAGGGGTCTCTGCTCAGGAGACAGAACAGTTCCCTCCTGGTGAGTGTCCCTCTGACTGCCCTGCCAAAGCACCCAGGCCCCCAAGAAGACATGCTATGAGAGCGTAGACAATACAGGTTTCAACCCAAGTGACTGTTTCTCCATGCCCATGAACCAATATGAGAGTTGGGAAACCAAAAAACCCTCTTGTGGGTCCAAATGAGAAAGTGCTTTTCCCAGAACAAGTGTGGAGCATAATCCAGGCACCCCAGTGGACCAGCAGGGACAAGGGCCTTGTGGGTCCAAATGAGAAAGTGCTTTTCCAGAACAAGTGTGGAGCATAATCTAGGCACCCCAGTGGAGCAGCAGGGACAAGGGTCTTACCTGCAAGTGCTGCAGATCATCCTCCTGCACATTCTGGGACAAGTTATAAACCTGCATTTAAAAACAAGAACTTCAGAACACTCACAATGGCCTGTCCTTTGCATGGCTCGGTGTGATTAAAGCCTACAACATTACCATCAGGACACAGCCAAAGTCCCAGCTGGCCCGTGGTGCCCCAAGCACAGCTGGACAGACTCATGCTGTTGGACAGAGAAGCACTGCTGATCCCTCTGCAGCAAAACACTCCAGTAGGGAGCACCAGGGACTCTTTCCCTAGCCTGGAAGCCTGTGGGGGTCCAAATAATGTTCTTTCTTCTCCATTTTTATGATGTGCTGAGCTCTGTACCAAGACACAGCTTCCAGTGGTTACTGGTGTGTGAACACCTCCAGCCCAGAAGTTTCTCCAGCAGCGCTGAGACAAAAGCACAGCCAGCTCCCCACACCAAGGTCCTTTTCTCTTTGGTAGCTGGAAGCAAAGGGGTGCATCTGCTGCTGCTCCTGCTCTCGGGGTGAGATGAGATGAGACTGTCCCCTGTGATGACGGAGTCACGTGTGAATCCTGCACTCTGTGCAGCCAGCATGATGGCCTTTGTCTCTCCCACCAAAGGCCCTGGGTTAGCTGCTGTGTTGCTGGGATTTTGCCACCTCCTTTTAGGAAATGATTCCTGGAGACATCCCCCTTCTTACCTGTATAGAGCTGATCATTGTGCTAAGAGCAAACACGGTGGCCGAATCCCGCAAGGTGGACTGGCTGTCGAAGGTCCCCTGGGTGTCCATCAGCAACACTGCAACCTGTGAGGCAGAAAGCTCCACGTCAGCATCTGCATCCAAGTAAAACCACTCTCAAACACCCCAGGGATGGCGGGGTGGGGAGGGTGAATGTCAGCTGCACTACTGTGCTGGGAATTTCGCTGCTTCTGCCTCAGACTTGTAACTGTTGGAGAACAAAGGAAAAGAGCAGCCCCAGTCACTCTTGACAGAGCGATGACTCCATCAGGCAGGGAAATGAATGCTGTACAACGCAGAGGAGGGAACTGCTCTGCTCCTCAAACACTTGCTGTCACTGCAGAGGGGTCTTTTCCTAAGTCTGCATTAGCTTCACGTCACAGAAGTCAAACACGGCAGCATATCACACCTCCTTAACCCAAAATATGTTCAGGCAGTATTAGAGATCACACCATGAATAATTCAGTGTCACTTGGGTGTTGGACTCTTCGTTAAAGAGCACATGAATACAAATATTCCTGGCTATAACCTGGATTTGCAGGATGCTCCAAAACCCAGTTTGCATTGTATTTGACCACCCTGAATGAAGATTGCTCCATTTTACAGCTACTGCTGTAGGAAAGGGGAGTAGTTTGCAAGGACCTCAGATTCAAGATTGCTGGGAACAGCAGAGAAATAAACTCTGGGATGTCCAGAGTTAGAGGGACACCTACAGAGCATATCCGGGACACCCAGACATCTTATCAACTCACTGCATTAAACCCATCCGTGCTAGATTAGGGATATGGTATTGAAGACCTTCTTTACACTTGCAAGGGCATTTGAGCCACCTAAAGACAAGGTAGCAGAGTCTGGAAGGGAAAAATGAGCTGCCCAGCAAGAGACAGCTATGCAACAGAGAAACACACACCTTTTTACCATCGGGCTTGTCCACCAGGAAAACCTCACTCCAGATCTGAATGCCGGTCGTCTCCCGCTCAGATCCTCCCCTCCAGGAGAAACCAGTCAGAGGCTCGTTGTAATCTCCAACCCAGTCCACTGCATCCTGCAGGCAGGAACAGAAGAAGTTGCTGGAGTTCTCATCTCACTTTGGTTCTACATTTTCCCTCTGTGCTGCCTCCACCCTAGTGCTGGAGGGGGGCAGCCCCTATAAAGAGAGGTTTCCTACAGGGCAGCAAATGTGAACATCTCTGCTCCAAAGTCAAGACTCCACTGGTGTGGAAGGATTTGCTCTATTTTATTTTATGAAGCCCATAAAGGAGAGGCTAAGGAGAGGCTTCAGCATTCCTAGAGCATCAAGCCAGTGTCCTGTCCAGCTTATCCCTGCTGCCCCCCCTTCCCATACCCCCAGGAAGAGCCACCTGAGCTGGAGCCATACCTTATTGTACATGTACCGCAGCATGAAGTCCATCAGGAATGATTTTCCTTTTCTAAAAGCTCCAGCAACAGACACGGCCACCACCTCTTTATCTCTGACAGCCTCTGAGAGGAGGATGCGGTTCAGTGCAGCTTCGTCCAGTTCAAAGGAATGGTCATCTTTGACGATGAGGACTTGCACCGGTCCTGCCTTCCTCACGGACTCCTCCTCCTCTGAGCTCCACTCGTAAGTCTTATCTGCAAAACTACCTGCATAAAGGAGTAAAACAAGAGCTGCTAGGTTCCTTCTTCTGCAAAAGCGCAGAGTCACAGCCAGCAGGGCTGGACAGGGTGGTAACAGGCCTAGTTAGCCCGAATATGCACCCAAAACCAGCACCGTTCAGAGCAGATGTCTGTCAAACCTGTCCTCAGACATCTCGATGGAAACTCCAGGCCACTTTGGAGTTATCTATCCACATGCTCCCTGCAGGCAGAGAGTTCCCTACTGGAATCACAGAATCGTCATGGTTGGAAAGGAATCTCCCTTGACAAAACACACCTATTGCTTTTTGTTCTACAAGAGCTGACACAGAGAACAGATCGCTCTCTTCTTGCCTGCAACGACTTCTGACGTACACAAAGACTGCCATAACACCTCCCTTAGCTTTTTCTCTGCTGGAGAGAAGTCCAGGCCACCTGATCATGCCTTGCTACCACGTCATCTAGGCATAGAATCACAGAATGGTTTGGGTTGGGACCTTAAAGATCATCTCCTTGCAACCCCTTGCCCTGGGCAGGGACCCCTCCCACCAGACCAGGTTGCTCCAAGCCCCCTCCAACCTGGCCTTGAACCCCTCCAGGGATGGGGCAGCCACAGCTTCTCTGGGCTGCTCTAGGCATCTGACTGCTCTCCTTTGGACACTGCCCACCATGTCCTTCCTGAAGGCTGTCTCAGAAATGGAAGCCACACTCGAGCTGAGGTGTCTCGGTACCTCACGTCTCCATCAAAGGATGCTGCCTTGATGCATCCTGTGCAGCTGCTGTTTCTGTAGCAACAGCCGAGTCCTGCTCCATCTGCAGCCTGCACTAATGCTCCAAGCCTAATCTGCCACTCCTGCCATCGACCCCATCAACGGCCTCCCCCGAGACAGCCCCGGCAGGAACTAGGCCACAAAGACACATGCCCATCCTGATAAAAGCCACTTCTTCACTCCCCAGAGGAAAGCGTATGCAAAGCAGAGGGCACTGCTCGCTTTCCCATTTCGAAATGGCAACGTTCCCTGCGGAGCTGCTTCCCGGCAGAGAGGCGAGCGCTGCCCAGGCTGTGTAGTGTTCATACAGCCTGACAAGAAGGTGTCACCTCCCTGCCACGACAGGGGTGAAGTGATAGGCATGATGTTGTAGCAGGAGCGTTTGGAGGGGACAGGCAGGGGACCCAGCGTTCGGTCACCACATCCTCACCGGGCAACGGCAGGGCACCAGAGAGGTGTGTATCACCCATATGATCCTCCAGGCTGAGATAATTCTGGCTTTTAATGGCCTGGTGGCCCATTTTGGGCTGTTCTCTGTCCCCGCCGCAATACGGGAGACGGCTGCATTTTAAGACCCACCATCCACAGAGACTGCAGCCCTGGGGTTTGCAATGAGCAGGCCAGCTCCGGTAATTTTCCTTTCATTGTCTCCAAACTTCCCAGTACAGGAAAGAGATGCCGAAGGTGATTAATCGTGCCAGTCACCTCACCTACAGCCACGTGAAATCTCCTCACCAGCAGGGAAGGGAGCGTGTGATGGAAAGTTCCCCCTGTATTTCTACAAAAACTTTCCGGTTTGTTGGCTCAGGCTGCAACTTTCCAAACACGGTAGCCTCAAGTTAAAAGTCCTGGGTCTCCCTTTCAGACCCTGACCTCGGAAATCCACTTTTCAGCCAGTCCCAGCAGTTTCAAAGCACAAGGGCTATGTGTGCACATGCTAAAAGGCAAGCTATAAATACCGAGAGGAATAGGGTTTGCCCATTCTGGGCCTCTTTATAAAGAAGCCTCCGGCAGCAACTTCATATTTTAAAGAACAGCAGTGCTTTTGTACGAGTTTGTGATTTCCTATGATCCTGCAACAAAATATCGGGATCATTAAGCCTGGTTGCTAGGGGATTTCTGGTGGCTCTCGGACATATACTACGAGCTTTCTTTGCTCGCAGTCGACAGACAAAGATCTTTTCTTCCCAATGCTTGGAGGTTTTTTTAGCAAAACAAAAGTCCCATATGCACTGAAAAGCTAAATTCTCCACCAAACTACAGGAACCAGGGCCCAGCAGCACCAAACTCCTGTCAAACACCAGTCCCTGCCCCGTTTCACTGCTCAGGGGCCTCCAGTAAGAAAAAAAAACCCTTCCCATTTCAAATACACGGACCCAGGATCCAGGCACATGTTGCTCAACGACTTGAAAAATGAAGGCCTCTGAAAGCACTCAGTCATAGAATCATGGAGTGGTTTGTGTAGGAAGGGACCTTAAAGACCATCCAGTTCCAGCCCCCCTGCTCTGGGCAGGGACATCTCCCACCAGACCAGGTTGCTCCAAGCCCCCTCCAACCTGGCCTTGAACCCCTCCAGGGATGGGGCAGCCACAGCTTCTCTGGCCAACCTAGGCCAGGCTCTTACCACCCTCACGACAAAGAATCCCTGAGATCTCACCTAAATCTCCCCTTTTTCAGTGTCAAACCATTTCCCCTCATCCTATGGCTCCCCTCCCTGATAAAGAGTCCCCCCCACGTCCCCTGTAGGCCCCCTTTAGGTACTGGAAGAGTGACAGCCAGTGCAGGGGAGAAGAGATTGTGTCGTCCCTTCAAAACATCAGAATCTGTAAGAAGCATATTTATTTTTAGAAGATATTGACAGATTTTGGGAGAAAGTCTCCAGACAGAGGTAAGAGTCCAAAGCGGCCATGGTCTCCTAGAGGACATCTTTGCTTCCATCACCCAAACACCAGGAAAACCAGGCTGTTTGCACAGCACGGGGGCAAAACACAACGTATTATCAGCAGGGTACATTGATTACCCAGTTCATTGGAAATACCAGGAGAAAAGGCATTATATTAAGCAGGTCTCTGAACTAATTTCAGCCCTGTTATCTCTGCTTCTTTCATGCATGCCATCTGCAGACAAAACTCTATCTTTCATATTTATTTCCATGTGATGAAATTTCCATGTTCTGTTTATTAGATTATCTGCCACATTGGAGAGCCAGAGATTATTTTATAAGAAGGCTACACATTACTGGAAATCAATTATTTTAACTGGCCTTTCCGGCATAAGTTAGTTATCTGCTTTAGAGGAAGTTGTACCTGGCAATGACAAAACATCATCTGGCCAAAAAAGAAAGGAAGGCGACCTCAGCTTTCCTAAACACACTCTTGTTTTTACTCATTTTCTAACTTGACTCCTCCTTTCTGTCGGCTCTCTCCCGGCGCCTTGCAATTACGTCAATTCTCAAGCTGCTCATTCAGAACTTGCCAGGATACAGTTCCTTTTCCCCATTTCATAACAGCTCATTTCCATGACTCTAAAGCGGGGTGGAATCCGCGTCTCTTTTCCATATGGTGATTCAAAGTGGAAAAGTGAAGGAGATGGGAATTTGCATTCATCCGTGCCGGGCTGTCAGGCAGCAGCGAGGAAGTGGCCTGATTCACGCAGACAGCCCCATAACACAGGACACTCTGCTCACTTTATGAATATTAAAATCTAAGGAAAAAATAAAGCATTTTTCAACTGCTCTAGGACTTATTTTTTGTTGAAATTGAATAAGTTAAATCAGCATATTTCACGCTGCGCCTGTGTACGGTCTGACAGCTGATGTCTAATGTATTTAAGGTCTTACAGGTGAATAAATGAGATAAATTAAACTAATTATGCAACGCACCTTTGGTGAGTGCTTGCTTAAGCCTGTTCTTGCTTTAGCTATGGAAGAACAGGTCACGGAAATGCTGACTACTTTCCAGAGACCAACCAATAATGTCAGCTTTTCTTCTTGCTTTAGCTATGGAAGAACAGGTCACAGAAATGCTGACTGCTTTCCAGAGACCAACCAATATGTCAGCTTTTTCCTTAAATGAGTTTGCACAATAAATACATTTCATTCCAGAGAACAAAACGCAGCCGTGACCCTTCACCTGTGCAAACATGGGCTGCCCAACTGGACCCCGAGAAAGCCCATGTGCCAGCCCTGCTCTTGTGCTCTCTTGGACCCCAGGAGCCTTATCTACCTAAGCACTGCCCGTCAAAACCAGAAACTGCAGCCTGGGCCCCAATCCCCCCGCTAAAATACACAGATGTCACGCGGTGCTGCTATTCTGAGGGTCTGAAACCAGGTTACTCTGCTGCGTGGAAAAACAGGAACCACCAAAGGGAGAAAAGCGAGGTTTGATGGCAAGCTTTAACTTAGAACAAGTTCTATCGTATTCCAAGTTCCCTGGAATAGAGCATCCCTGTATCGACCGGGTTAGGCTGCTTCTCAGCACTCCTCTAGGGATTAATTTGATCAGCAGAGATAGCTGTGTTCTGAAGCCATGTTCACCCTGGCTGTTTATATCACAAACATATCGCAGTGCCGCCGCCGGTACCACGAGCCAAGCGCCAAACAGACCTTACAGTCAGGCATGATCCCTCTGCACGTTCTCCAGAGAGCTTCAGCTTCCAGGAAGCTTATCTGCCCTCTGCAAACGGCGCTGGCAAAGAAAGACATCTCTCTCCAAGCCACGGCCTCCCTTGTGCGTATCGCATCCAGCGCGGCTGTGACAGGCGTTCTGCTGGCTCTATTCATGCTGAACTACCTCCGCCGCACCACAACCAGGCACCCATCACCAGCCATGCTCTGAGGGAGCTGGGGAAAGGCAGCATCGCTTTGAGCATGCACCGAGCATCCTCTCCTTCTCCCCCAGACAGGCTTGCGCAGAGCTCTGCAGCTTATCCAGCTAACGAGGGACAAACGAGAAACAAAGCATTGAAGCAAAGCACATACACCGGAGGGGCAGGGCGGAGGGGATGCTGTAGGGCAGTAAAGCCTGGCTGGGTAAAGCTCTCTCTTGCACCCAGCGTTGCTCTGTGGTCTTGCCTGCACCGTGCTCCCAGAGGGTTCCTTGCCAGCAGGTCAGAAAGGCCCCCCGAGCTGGGTTTAACAACACACACACACGTTCACTGTCCCCTCCTACATCCTGCCTGTGCCTCCTCCACCCAGGGCATGGCTGACCACACAGCCCTCCCTCCACCCTGCTCACATCTCTGCCAGGATCTCCAGCTTTAGAGTCCTCAGCACAGGAAGGACATGGACCTCTTGGAACGGGCCCAGAGGAGGCCACAAAACGTTCCAAGGGCTGGAGCCCCTCTGCTGGGAGGACAGGCTGAGAGAGTTGGGGGGTTCAGCCTGGAGAAGAGAAGGCTCCGGGGAGACCTTGGAGCCCCTTCCAGTCCCTCAAGGAGCTCCAGGAGAGATGGGGAGGGACTCTGGATCAGGGAGGGGAGCCATAGGACGAGGGGGAAGGGTTTGACACTGAAAGAGGGGAGATTGAGATGAGATGTGGGGAAGAAATTCTCTCCTGTGAGGGTGGTGAGAGGCTGGCCCAGGTTGCCCAGAGAAGCTGTGGCTGCCCCATCCCTGGAGGGGTTCAAGGCCAGGTTGGATGGGACTTTGAGCCCTCTGGTGGGAGGTGTCCCTGCCCAGGACAGGGGGGTAGAACTGGATGGTCTTTAAGGTCCCTTCCCACCCAAACCACTCTGTGATCCTATGATTTGTAGCAGCTTCATGGAGTCAGAGGACCCCAGACCCAGAGAGAGGAAATGCCAGGCACTGGCCATCACTGAGCAGAGCCACCAAGCTGAAGCATCACACATACACATGTACCCCCCTAGGACTCCAGCCTGGCTCATGGCCTCCTTACACCTGGGGCTGGTGGTCCAGGAAATGCAGCAGTGAATGGGAAGGCAGAGCCAGACCTTCCTGTGCCCAAGTGGGAAATCACTTGCACCTCCCCAGACTGGATGTAGAGATGCAATCACAGCTCTGCCATGAATGGCAGAGTGATGGCTTTTTATCAGAGTAAGGCTGATGGTTGGACTAGATGATCTCAAAGGTGCCTTCCAACCTGGACAATTCTATGATTCTACCAACCGAGGCGCAAGGCAGGCTCTCAATACCTGTGGGAATGATGAGTAAATGACACAGCCCGTGACGAAGCCCTCCACCCAGGGAGCTGCAGAGCACTGCTTAGAAACAGGTAAAGAAAACTCTCATGTAAAAAATTAGCCCTCTCCTTTGGCAAGAAAAGACCACACTTGGTAGTCATTTGGGGTCTTGTTTTGAGATCCCAGGTTGAGTTCTCCAAAGTCGGGGTGAACTCTTGCACCCCAGCTGCACGGCAGTGTTAACACCTCTGCCCAAGGCAATTTGCACTCCCATGTGCTCCTGGAGAGCACCCCACTTCTCTGCCCCCCAAGGACGCTCGCAGCAGGGAGCCCAGAAGGGTGGCTACTGCTGCCAGGCTTGGTACTCATCCTTTGCTTTTTTTGGAACGGTGGTTGAGATGTAGAGAGCACCTTCTTCCCGCCAGCCCTGAGTCATCCAGCTGGCAGCAGAGCAGCTTCAGCCAGAGCGTGGCCAACTCAGCCCCTTTTCCCTTTGGCAGGCGAAACAAGGAGCTGAACGATTACGCTGATAACGCCAGCGGTTGGGGACCTTCCTGCATAAAAGACTGCTGACAGAAACAAGAGCTTGGGTGATTACTGGCCACCAAACCTGTCTGTTACAACAGACACAGCTCAAATGCCAAAATCCAACACGAAACTTTTTAACGGCGGCACCTACTACCACTTAGATGAAGCTACAGTGCCTGTGGACATTATCTACTTCTCAGACACAGATCCTGGGCCTCCTCACTTATCCACGTCAAGCCTCAGCCAGACTCAGGTGTGACATGATGACTGAAAGGCATCTTGCAGGAAGAAAAACTCTCCCTTCACCCCAAGCACATTATTTTCTGCGTGGTCCTTCATCCCCTCTGCCTGTCAGCAACCAGCCTCCCTCCACCACCAGTGCTGGGTTTAGTCATTTCTGACCTGAAATTATTTTTACCTTTTTTGTTGTTACAATTGCCTGAAAATACAGCTTGGTAAATGTGCCACGAAATCCTAGGATATACACGAAAGGCAATTAGACTCTGGAGAAAATGATTATGTATTTAGATACATTTTACCGGCTTGGCAGAGTCCATCACTTTCTCTGGAGCCTGCACCTCATTTGGGAAATTTGTGTTCATTTACTTTACTGTCATAACACTTAATGGTCCTTCAAGTGATAGCAAATGTGAGCGTTTCTGGCAGGACCAAAGAAGCTGGGGTCCCTCTAGTCCAAAGTGACTTTCAGAGGTGATCCACAGGACATCCCACACCTCCCAGAGCACGATGACACCTGTACCAGCCGCATTTCGCTGCTGGAGAAGGTTCCAGTCAATGATGCAGAGGAGTTAATATATGCCTGTGGACATCACCTAGGCCCTAAACAGTATTTATGGATGCTGTTTCTTACCCAGAGGCTTAGCAGAGAAAATACAAGAAGATATAACCAATTCCATACGCTGTTTCCCCCTGCCATTAATCAGGCAGGCAGCCAGCGCCAAAACCTCTCAAGGCATGGACACGACATGAAGCATGATGAGGGCACCATGGCCTCTAAGGAAGGCTCAGGACATCTCAGTTCTTCCCCCCCTGCCATTAATCAGGCAGGCAGCCAGCGCCGAAACCTCTCAAGGCATGGACACGACACGAAGCACGATGAGGGCACCATGGCCTGTGAGGAAGGCTCAGGACATCTCGGTTCTTCCCCCAAAAAGGGGAAAGGCAGGATGATCTTGCTCCTGCTCACCTTGCAGGAGCATGTTATTCAAATTCTTTGTACAAATCCAATGTTACTCAAATTCTTTGCCTCAAAACCAAAGGCACAAAGGCCAAGCATCATGCTTAGTGATTTGGGCCTCCAGCTTGCAATGTCTTGTCTCTTAGAAGCACAGAATTGTCCAGGTTGGAAGGGACCTTTAAGATCATCTAGTCCAACCATCAACCTAACTCTGATTAAAAAACATCACTAAACCATGTCATTAAGCACCCCATCTCTTAAATACCTCCAGGGATGGTGCCTCAACCAGTTCCCAAGGTTCTACTTTCAAGTTCCAGCGCTTCATTTTCTTTTCTTGTTTACAAGGCAGTAAATCTGGTTGTGAATGTTCTCATATCTAGTGGTTTTCTGTGTGAAGGCCTGCCTGTCTGAAACGTCTCAGCTCTCACTTTTCAGGAGGTTCCCAGCATTCAGAGTCACAAAGAAATGCCAGGAAGTGGAATCTGAAAATCCACCATAAAAGGTCAGAAAACTAAATGACAAACCGAAAGGATGTTAGCACTATTAGTTAAAAAAACCAAAGGACTACAGAAATTAGTCTTTTCTTTCCAGTTTAACCCATTGCTGTGCAGTCTGAAAGTGTAGCATTGATGATCTCAGCCTGGCCTGTGCTGGGGAAGTCCCTTCTCCCCAAAAAGATGCTCAGCCCTTCCTGGCAATCAGGCCCCTTTAAAGCTCTCACGAATCTCACGTCCAGTTTGAAAATCCTGACCACCAAGTATATATAACCTCTGTAATCCCTTCTTGGGGTTTTGAAACCGAATTTTTGACGAGTGGGTCATTCCAATTACAACATGGGCCGTGATGGAAAACAGGAGAGATTTCACACAATTTGTTCCAGTCTATCCCATTTAACTGAGTGACTGGGAGCGGAGATCTCTAATGGTTTTACTGCTGCAGGGGAGCAGGCTGCTGAGCTCCTGCAACTGCCAAGCACAAAGAATTTCAGGAAAATATCGGTGTAACCTACCACAAGACTTCATCGAGCTGGCTGGACTTCACCACACCCATCAGGATTTAGACTAACAATCCTTATTTCAGGAAAAACAGGGTCCCTTACTCTTCCAAAAAAAATTATAGGTGACTTTTTTGCCAGCAGCTCCCTCAGCCATTCATCTGGTGACTGGCAGCAGTTGTGAGGTCTATGCACCGCTTCGCACGGTTCAGGAAGAGCGCCTTAAATGATGCACAGCCTTATGCTGACCTTCTGCCCAGGGCTAAATCCTACACTCAATGCATTACACCCCCCTACACGAGCTCCTGGGGATGTACATGTGTGACAGTAACCCAGCTCTTCTAGCTGACTGGAGGCAGTTTCTTCTGGGTGCCACACACTCACTTCACCATAATTCGCCCTGTGATCTTTAAAAAAGCATGTTATTTTTATGAAACAAAGGGGAAGGCTGGCACTAAGCAGTTGCCTGTTTTCAGGCCTGACTAATCAGAGAGTAACTAGGACAAAGTTTGATCCGTTTCAAAATAGCATAATATTTTTAATGACCCATAAGCCCATTTTTTAGAACACAGCAAGGACTTTCTACTTTCTGCCTTAGTTTTGAGAAAAAGCCTGAGACTCCTCCTTCGCCAGCTCGGCTGAAAAACGTAGCAGTGGAATAGTCACCCCACGGACTGATGTCACCAGACAAAGCTGCAGTCACTGGATGTAAACACATCTTTCAGGGCAGTGAGGTTCTGTTCTATAAATGCACGCTTTTTATTGAAGGGTGGTTGGGTTTTTTCTCCTAGCAGAAAACACAGGCATTTTGCTCTCTAATTTATTACCTGCAATGTCAACCGGCCTGGCAGAGCGCCAGGAAATCACTCTAGGAACAGGTAAACCTCCGTGGAATAGACAGGGTATGGTTTTGACCCGTGGATGGGTTGCAGCAGAAGGCAGCTGATCCCACCAAGATCCACTCAGATCCATGGATGCTTCCAGATTCTCGCAAAACTTAACAGAGAATCTAAGGAAGAGTTCAGCGAATCAGTGACACATCACATTTCGCTCCAGTACGGCTTTAGCGGCGTGTTCGGACTGGGGGATGTGCCTAATTGTCTCACTGGACCAAGGCTATACTTTCCAAGGCGATGTTTTCTCCATTTATATCCGTTTCGGCCTCGTTTGCATTTTCTTCTCGTGCTATCAAGATCTGACGGGGAAGCACCAGCGCCCGTACGTGTGTGCAATACCCAACACGCAGAGAGACGGGACTGACAGCCCTGCGAGACGAAGCTGAGAATCTCAGCATGTTCACTGGGAAGTTTTCCCTCCGGTTACCCAAGGGTCTAACGACCTTCGTCAAGAGCTGCCGTTAAAAACAGCACCCATCAAACGTGGGTTGCTCATTTGCTCCCTGCTCTCTTGCAAAAAGACCCCCCCCACACCCGCTCGGTTTACTCCAGTCACACACTCCCGTTATCCGAACGCTTCCGCAAACACGTCCCTCAACTGTTAATCATTACCATGGGAAATACTACACTCATCTATACAAATTAGAGTATAATTTGTGTATCTAAACACCACGGCTTAGCTCACCTGCTCTGCCTGACGAGCCAGGATACCGCCAGCACTGACGATGAGTGCATTCATACGGAATACAACTCGGGGGAAGTGACAAATTACGCCCCTCAGCCGCTTCAAAATAACGGCAAATGGCTGTATAAAACATGATTTTCCATAAAACAGACAGTGCTTCAGTGGGAACTGGTAAAGTACCGAGCCCTGGAGACAGAAGGCTCAGCCACAGCCCTGGCTGTACATAGGGTAACCGGCATTAGGAGCCCCTTTGGTTGCTTGGTCCATGGGACCACCTTTGGCTCCCGTGGGGCAAGCAGCCCACCCATGGGACCACCTTTGGCTCCCCTGGGGCAAGCAGAACACCCACAGGACCACCTTTGTATCCTATGGGGTGAGCAGCCCATATGTGGGGCCACCTTTGGCTCCCATGGGGCAAGCAGCCCACCCACAGGACCACCTTTGGCCCCCGTGGGGTGGCCACTGGTTCCAGAGGAGAAGGCAAACCTTGAAGGAAGACACCTCAGAACTCCCTCCTCCCCACTCCCCTCCCTGGCCGTGCTGCCACCAGCTCCCCGGGGCTCAGGCGGGGTTTGCAAAGGGACGGATTTAAAATGGCCCCTCTCCGAGGGTCTCACACACCAACAAAGCCCCACAGCCTGCAGGAACGTGGGGGGAAAAAGCCCTCTGTGGGAGCGACCTGGCAAGGAAGGCCGGTGGCTCCTGTTTGAAGGAGAAGGTGGGGTGAGCGGGACCCCTGCTCCCCAGCTGAGGTGGGGTGGTGGCTGAGGTGACAACCCCGGCTTGGTGGCCGAGGTGACAATGCCGGGTGGTGGCTGAGGTGACAACCCCGGCTGGTGGCTGAGATGACATCCCCCCGTCCACGCCAGGACTGAGGGTGGGTGCCGTTGGGACAGCAGCAGCGGGGCGAGGGGTGCCATGGCAGGCCGGAGGGGAGCTGGGGGGGCTCCTCACGGCGGTGGCTGAGGGGGGTGCCCGGCCCCGTGTGGGACGCAGGGCCCCGCCGGCCCCCCCAGCCCAAACCGCCCTAACGGATTGCGGGGGGGGGGGGGCAACCGGACACCCCCGCCACCGCCTGCAGACCCCCAGAAGGGATGAGGCGTTTAAAAAAAGCCGCCTTAGACCCACGGAGGGAGC